GATGCAGTCACTCTCCAATGTAGACCAAAAGTATTCGTATCTCATGACTTGTCTTGCCATCATATGTCAATTTGCACGAGTTCCATATATTATGTCATGTACTTCCTCCAAAATCATCTTTGCCTCTTCTACATCCACACATCTTAACAAGACTTGATCATGACTTTTTTTGTATAAGACTTCCCCATCAAAGACATATCTTGCTGTCATTCTACTTATTGTTCTTTTGTCAGTTTTTGTGGCTTCCTCTGGATAGCTTTGATTTTTAATACACTGCAGAATATCATGGTACCATGGTTTTTTATCTCTCACTTGTTCGATGTGATAGAAATGTGATAAATATTCATGTGAGTGCATATCAATTGGCATCATGTCAAACTCCACGCCAGCCTTGAACGTTGCTGCCAAGGTGACTAAAGCATCTGCCATCTGGTTCTCCTCTCTGGGCACGTAATGAAAAGTGATTTCATCAAACTCTTTAAATAGATCCAAGATGAGCATTTTAAACTCTATCAGTTTGATATATTTTGTTTCCCATTCTTCTCGTAGATGATAGATCACTAAGGTAGAATATCCATACACCCTTAAAGTCTTTATGTTCTGTCAAATAGCAGCCCGAATCCCCAAAACACAGGCTTCCTATTCTGCCATGTTGTTAGTGCAATCAAAGTTTAATCTGCTAGTGAACCGGTAATGGTTTTCTTTGGGTGAAATCAATATAGCCCCAATATTGTGCCCTAACGCATTCGATGCACCATCAAAGTGAATTTTCCAGGAATCATATGAAGAAGTATTGGTTTCTTCTAAAGATATGACCCTCAAGTTTTCATATAGGAAGTTGAAGTCCAACGATTCATAATTTTCATAAGTTTTGCTTACTAAAAGTCAGATATGGCACTACTTTTTGTAGCTTTCTGACTCACGTACTCAATGTCAAATTCCGATAGTACCATCTTCCATCAGGCTAACCTTCTAGAAAGAGCAGGTACACCAATCATAAATTTAAGCGGATCCAACTTGGAAATTAACTAAGTGGTATGATATAACATCAATTATCTGAGTCTTCGTGTAGCCCATACTAAAGCGCAACAAACCTTTTCAATTGGTGGATACCTATCCTCACAATCAGTAAACTTCTTACTAAGGTAGTAAAAGGCTATTTCCTTTCTCCCATATTCATCATGTTACCCTAGGATAAATCCCATCAAATTCTCAAAGATTGACAGATATAGAAACAAAGGCTTATCTGGGATGAGAGACATTAAAACGTGAGTGCGAGATAAATACTCCTTTATTTTCTCGAAAGTGAGTTGGCAATCATCATCCTATGCCCCAATAGTTATTCTTCCGATTGAGCCAAAAAATTAGATCGAATTTATCTATCAATTGAGATATGAACCGAGCAATGTAATTCAATATACCCTGAAAACCTCAAAGTTCATTTTTTATTCGCGGGAAATGAAAATTTTGGATGGCTTTGATTTTATCTGGATCAATTCCAATGTCTTTCTTGCTAACAACAAAGCCCATCAGCTTTCTGAACGTTACTCCAAAGGTGCACTTGTTTGGGTTCAGTTTCAATTGAAATTTTCTTAATCTTTGGAAACATTTTCTCAGATTCTCGATATGCTTGTCTTCAGTTTGTACTTTTAGAATCATATCACCAACAAAGACTTCAATCTCCTTATCCATCATGTCATGAAACAAGGTCACCATGGCTCTTTGGTATGTTTCCCTAATATTATTTAATCCAAAAGGCATCACCTTGTAACAAAATTTTTCCCACATTGTGACAAATGTGGTATTTTCCATGTCGTCTGGATGCATCTTAATAAGGTTGTATCAAGAGAATCTATCTATGAATGAGAAGAAGGAATTTTCTATTGTATTATCCACCAGAGTATCTATGTGGGCAATGGGAAGTCATATTTAGGACTTGCTTTGTTGAGGTCTCGATAGTCAAAGCACATGCATACTTTTTCATCCTTCTTTGGTATCGACACTATGTTAGCCACCCACTCTGGATACTTGGCTACTTGAAGAAAACCAACATCAAACTACTTCTTGATTCTTTTATCTTAAGGAGCATTTCAGGCCTCATCCTCATTAGTTTTTATTGTACGGGTTTGCATTCAGGCTTGATTAGTAATTTGTGGAACACCATATCTGTGTTGGTACGACCATGCAAACACGTCTTTGTACTCCTAAAGTAAGTTTATCAAACTTTGCCTTACTCCAGATGAAAGTATTGTGTCGATTTTAACTTCTTTCTTTTCTTCTTTAGTGCCTAAATTTAAAATTTCAATTTTCTCTTCATGGGGCAAGATTTGTTTGTCTTCTCTTTCCACCATTCTTAACAACCAAGGAGGTAAGTTGCACCCTTCTTCATTGTCACATTCATCGATTTCCCCGAGACACTTGAGTTGATCAAAGTCGACCTCTGGTCAGAATCATCATTATCCACATCATTAATATCCAAAGACCTGAAAAGAAAAGAGAGGAGTAATACATATATACGAGAGGAAAATATCCCACATAAAATGTAGAAACAAATTTATTATATATATGAAAGAAGGAATGAAAATAAGAAATGTTTACCAGAAAAGAAAATTGCATCTTTTATTGTAATATAAATAAAAATAGTTCATTAACCCTTAAAAAAGATCACTTATTGGCCCAGGTATAGGTAAATAGGGAAAGTTTCAGTACTACTTTTAAAGAGATTTAAAATCAGCAGTCCAGTTGTTTAGCATGAACCCTGGCGGTAATGGATGGATTTTGGATCTATCAACATCCTCAGCGTCATATGTTGTTATGACCTTGATACTTATGTCTTCCAGAGCTTCATCCAGATCAAGTAAGGCTATCCTTGCTTTTTTTCTCTCAAAAGCATATCCACTAGACCTGAATGTACTGTGAAGAGGTGGAAAAACCATTGGTTCCCATTGAATTTCTTCCCCAGTCAATCTTGCCCTTCTTCTTTATTGACATTTCTTAATTTCCTTCATTATTTGTTGATGACAAGACTGATATCCAAGCCCAAATTGATCCAGTTTGGCAAGAGGAAAAATGAGGTTGATTCTTCCTTGTACAAAACTCCCAAACCCTCTTCATATATTTGCACCACTCCCCAAAGTGTGCTTGATTTCTGTTGAACTATATTTTTATATAACAAATTAAGGCAAAATATTTTTAGACTTGAATTGAATTTAATCAAAGTTTCAAAAATAATTTAGTCCATTTATCTTGGAATTGAGCACAAAATGTTTTTTTGAACAAGAAGTATCGATATTGTTGTTACAGACAGTATCGATACCTCATGAACAGTACTGATATTGTTCATATGGTACTGATACCCTAGGCAAGAGAAGTATCGATACTCTCTTGTTAGTATCTATACTACCAGTATTGCTCAAATTCCATAATGCAAAAATGGTACTGATACCCAATGGGGTACTAATACTACTTTACATAATAGTATCAATACTATAGGTTTAGTATCGATACCATCAAGCCCAACGACTAGTTTTATTTAAAAATAACAAAGGTAGTACCGATATCCTCTGTACTTGGCAATTTTATTTTTGTAGAGAAAAACATCCCCAATGGCTCCAGATCACTCCCAAAGGCTAGAAACGACCACAAACTCATTCCAACATATAAATACAAGTTGATGACAATTGAAGAATGTTTAGAACACATATCCAAGCATTCAAACATAATAGAAGAGTTTTTCATTCTTATTTTATATTCTCTTGTATATATATTTGTTCTTGTGAGCTTTATTTTCTAAACAACCTACCTTTAAGAAGTTTTATTTTTTTTACTTTTTTTATCCTTTCTTAAAGGGGATTGGTTCTAGCTTAGACAAGTAAAAAACTAAGGAGTGTAAAGGTTATCTCTTTGTCCTTGAAAAATAAAGAACAAATTAGTGAATTTGTTAAAAAATCCTTATTGAAGAGCCAAGGTGGTGGGGGTAGACTTAGTTGAGAAGTCGAACCACTATAAATCTCTATGCCAATTTTTATATTTTTCATTCTCCTTACTCCCTAAATAATTTTTTCCAATTCACCCCCTTGTGCAAATTTTCAGTTGATCAAATTGAGCTTCAAAAATCCCAATAATTGGTATCAAAGCTTGACTCATTAGAAGGTTAACCACCTTGAGACGTTCCTAGAAGAAGCTCTATCGATTCCCGATGCAATTAACAAAAATATGGTTTCGACCTTTGACTCTTACTATCTTGAAGATTCACAATCGATCAACAAGCCACCATATTTCAATGGAGAAAACTACGCCTATTTCAAGAATAGGATGATTGGAGTAATGGAAAGAAGAAGTTCCAACTCAATGCTAAGGCAATGCACATCCTCTTTTGTGCATTAGGACCAGATGAATATGGAAGAGTCTTCTCTTATTCCAATGCCAAGGAAATATGGGACAAGCTCCAAGTCACTCGTGAAGGAACAGATGAGGTGAGGGAAACCAAGATAAGTCTTCTCAACCATAGCTACAAGAATTTCAAGATGAAACCTGATGAAGTTATCAAAGCTACGACGAATAGATTTTTTGTGATTGTCAACGGTCTCAAGGGTTTCGGAGAAGTAATCCCTAATGAGAAACTTGTGAGGAAGATGATATACTCTCTTCCAAAGTCTTGGCAATCGTAGAAGATGACGATCATTGAGGCTAAGAATCTAAAGTATCTCACTCTTGATGAGATTTATTCTCTTCTCACTCATGAGATAATGGTGTAGAAAGAGGAGAAAGATGAAGAGAAGCAAAATAAGAAGAAGAATGATGTAGGCATTGCCTTTAAGTCCACAAATAAGAGCAATCAAGATTAAAATGATGAGATGGATGAAGATGATAATGAAGAATAAGAGATATCCAAGCTCTTCAAAAGATTCAAGAGATTCATGACTTCTAAGGAAGTGAAGCATGAATCGAGTAAGAAGAAGAGTCCCCCGGTGTGCTTTAATTGTCAAAGAACGGAGCATGTCAAGTATGAATGTCCCCTCTTAAATAAAAAGGGATCAAACAAGAAAAATATATTTGTGGCAGCTTGTAATAATGAAGATCACTCCAATGATGAAGATGAAGTAGCCAACCTATGACTCATGACCATTCAAGAATACTCAATAGTAACTTCTAACTCAAATGACTTAAATTCTTATTCTTTTGATGAGTTACAAGTTTTTTACAATGGGTTGTATTTGGAACTTGAGACCATGAATTCCAAATATAAGAAATTAATTTCAAAACTTAAAATTGAAAATGATTTGGTTTTGAAAGAAAAAAATTGATTTTGAAAAAAAATGAATCTTTGAAAAATAATTTAGAGCTTTCAAAAGTCAAAATCAATGATTTAGAAAAAGAAAATTTTGATTTGAAATTTAAGCTTGAGAGCTTAACAAATGAAAAAGAATTAATTTCTAAAAATAACTCATTATGTTTAAAAATGGAAAATGCTCACATTACCATTTTCATGGTCATATGGAACATACTCATCCTTTGAAGAAAGGAAAACATTTTAAAATTAGACAAGTATGGGTTCCTAAGGGAACAAAGGGCATTGAAACTAACGTCTAAGGATCCAAAGCAATTTGGATACCCAAATGCACTTAAATTACTCTTGTAGCTGCGTGGGAGCAATGGTGATGAAAATGAAGATGTTCAAATGCTCTATCCACACTTGAAAAGGAATGAGTAACCTCTAAGCTTAAAAGCTTTTTGATTTTGCATAATTGGTTGCTCATTTAGTTTATGCATTCATGAGTTTTGATTTTAACTAATTTCATGTTTTCTATCTTATGTATGTTGAAAAATATGTTATGATAAACATTCTAAAGCTTTAATGATTTTTCATAATTTTTAGTTCATCATAATAAATTTCGGTCAAAATTAGTTTTAAATGCAAATGATATCTCTCTAACAATTGATATCAATTTTTCAAATGTTTTGATATTATAATTTTAATTTTTGACCTAAATTTAAATATTTATGCATGTGATTTAAAATGCAAATGATATCTCTCTTACAATTGATATCAATTTTTTTAATTAAATAACATTATGCATATGCAGTTAATTTCAACAATTGATATTGCATAAAGAATTTTGGACTTGGATATATTGAATTTCATGTGTTACTAATATGCTTTCTATTCTTTGTTAAAATTCAATTTCTTTTAAGTGTCATGCTTTTAAAGTCAAATTTTTTTTGGAATGCACTTTTTGAGGGGAGCCTTTGATTTTTCAAATGTTTTTAAAGTCAAACTTACCACTTACTCTCTAATGTTATTTTTGAACTTTAAAGTTGAATTATTTTGATATAACAAAAAGGAAATAAGTATAGGTTTAAAAAATTCAACTTTTCAATGAAAAAGGGGAGCTGAACATTTTCCAACAATTGATATCTTTTTAATTAAATATTTTATTAAGCTGGAGTTTTACCAAAAACAATTTTTCAAATGTTTTGTTATATCAAAAAGAGGGAGATTGTTGAACTATATTTTGATATCACAAATTAAGGCAAAATAATTTTGGACTTGAATTGAATTTATTCAAAGTTTTGAAAGTTTTCAAAAATAATTCAAAGTCCATTTATCTTGGAATTGAGCACAAAATATTTTTCTGAACAAGAAATATCGATATTGTTCTTACAATATCGATACCTCATGAACAGTACCGATATTGTTCATATGGAACCGATACCCTAGGTAAGAGAAGTATCAATACTCTCTAGGTAGTATTGATACTAACAACATTGTTCAAATTCCAAAATGCAAAAAATGGTATCGATACCTAATGGGGTATCGATACTACTTTACATAGTAGTATTGATACCATAGGCTTAGTACCTATTTCGTCAAACCCAATGGCTAGTAACAACTAGTTTTATTTAAAATAACAAAGGTAGTATCGATACTCCCTATAGGAGTACCGATACCCTCTGTACTGGGTAATTTTATTTTGTAGAGAAAACATCCCTAACAGCTCTAAATCACTCCCAACGGCTAGAAACAGACACAAACTCATTCCAACATATAAATACAAGTTGAGGACACTTGAAGAAGGCTTAAAACACCTATCCAAGCATTCAAACACAAGATAAGAGTTTTTCATTCTTATTTTCTATTCTCTTGTACATATTTGTTCTTGTGAGCTTTATTTTGTAAACAACCTACCTTTAAGAGGTTTTATTTGTTTACTTCTTTTTATCCTTTCGTAAAGGGGATTGGTTCTAGTTTAGCCAAGTGAAAAACTAGGGAGTGTAAAGGTTATCTCTTTATCCTTGAAAAAAAAAGAACAAATTAGTGATTTTGTTAAAAAATCCTTAGTGAAGAGCTAAGGTAGTAGAGGTACACTTAGTTGAGAAGTCAAACCACTATAAATCGTTGTGCCAATTTTTCTATCTTTTATTCTCCTTACTCCCTAAATATATTTTTGCCAATTCACACTCTTGTGCAAATTTTCGTTTGATTAAATTGAGTTTCGAAAATCCCAACAATTTCCATTTTGGTGTATTCTGAGAGTCTAGGTGTGGAAATCTTACCTTCTTCTGCCACAAATATGGCATTGACAAATTCCAACGATCGAAATGAACACTCCATAGCTTCCTCGCTCACATCAATGTAAGGGGCATCAGTGGACATGCTTGCCACTATGTCTTCCTCAGCATTAATGATTATAAGAGTCCCATCGATAACAAACTTGACTTTCTGGTACAGTACTGATGGTACTACCTAGGTTTGTTGAATCCATGGCCTTTCTAAAAGGCAGTTGTATGAAGGTATAATGTTCATCACTAGGAACTCTATGTTATATGTGGCAAGCCCAATAGTCAATGGTACTTCAAATTTGTCGAGCACCTTCCTCTTTGTCCCGTCAAAATATCGAACCACACTCTCACTTGTTCTCATGTGAGAAGTATCAATCGATAGCCTTTTAAGAGTGACCAAAGGCATTATATTAAAGGTAGAGCCATTGTCAATTAGTACACTTGGCAAAACATGTCCCTTGCAATTAGCAGTAATGTGTAATGCTTTAGCCCGACCCTTTCCTCCAAACAGAATCTCATCATCAGAAAATGAGATAAGGTTATCGGCTTAAATGTTGTTAACCAGTCGATCCTTCTTATTTATTGGCATATCATTTGGCATAAATGTCTTATTTAAGACCTTCAAAAGTGCCTCTCTGTGTGCTTCCAAACTCAGCAGTAGTGACAACATTAAGATGCGTATGGGCAAGCTATGTAATTGTTCCACGATGTTATATTCGACGTGCTTTAGAAACTCTAAAAACTTCATAGCTTCCTCATCTTTTATGGGCTCGTTCACTGCTGGTTCATCCCCTTTGAATGGTTTAAGCGTTCTCTGGGGTAGGCTAGATTTTTTGGAGTAGCACTTCCCAATTGAATGCCCACTTCATTGACGTCTTTTACAGAGTCCACTTGGCATCCATACTTCCAAGGCACTTGTTTGCTATCTTCGTAGGGGAAAGGTCTTGGTGCTACTATCACCACTTTTGTCGGTACCTTATTTGCCATCTTCACCTTGGGGGTGATTATCAAAGGGCGACCTGTGTCGTATCCCTTGTCATATGAATCTCCAGTTGCACAAACATATGCTTCTGGAGTGTCCTTTACTTCCTCATAGAATTCCAGCTCATTTCGGTCCATCATTAGCTGGATCAAAGCTTTAAATTATGAACATAACAACAATGACTACCACCTTCGTATTCTGATGTGCTAGAATACAGTGCAAGAAATACTGCCTTTATCATTTGCCTCCATACCCAAGCTAAAAGAGACTTTACTTCAGAAATTTTGGTCTTGACTTCCTTGGTTTTCTCCTCGATGATTATGTTAACCCTATTTTCATGGTGATTAGGTAGAGGATTCTATGCAACATTAAGTGATTCTGAATTATTAAAGTGGATTCAGTTCTTGTTGCGCATTCTTTGGACAATCCTCTTAAAAGTGTGGCAATTTTCAATAGCATGCCCCAAGACACCACCATGATATTCACAATGGGAATTTTCATCGTACCACCTAGGGTATGGGGCTTCATAGGTTCCACTGGATATGGTGACACCACATGTATGTCAAAATACTACTAGTAAAGCTCCTTATACATCATGGGAATAAGATCGAAATGCTCTTTTTCTGTCCTTGGTTCCCTCATATCTTGTCTAGAAGTACCTAACAGTATAATTGCAATTGGTTTTGACTTAGAGATTGTAACACTTTTGTTGGTATTAAAAGTATTGATGTTATTGATCTTTTATTCTCTCTTCTGCATAGGAGGTCTTCTACTATACTCACCTCTATCTATCTTTCCTTGTCTTATGGTTGTCTCCATCATTTCTCCAGCCATAATTAAATTAAAAAAGTTACCTGATGTGATCGCAACCAAATACCCAAAGAAGGGAGCCTTCAAAGAATGTACGAAGAGCTTCCTTGTTTTTTTCTCATCTAGAGGTGGATGAACCTGCGTGGTTAAATCCCTCAATCATTGTGCATACTGCCTGAAACTTTCATTTTGCTTCTTCTCCATACTTTTTAGCATAACATGATCTGGTCTCATGTCATTTACATGCTTGTATTGCTCTAAGAATGACTTGGTAAGATCTTTCCACGTCCTGATGTGAGAGTAGTTTAGTTGATTGTACCACCTGGAAGCAGTGAATTAGGAGGTGGTTTTTCCTTACATATCATGTCATCTTTCGACAGAACATGGTGATATGAACTGAGGGGGAAACTATTCTCATCAAACTTCTCAAAATCTGGGACTTTAAACATAGGAGGAAGAATCAAATCTGGGACCAAACTTAGTTCCAAAGCGTCAACTCCATAATAATTATCCTCTCCTCTAATTGTATTCATTTGATCTTCTAACTGCTTGATCTTTTCCTTCATTTTATTTTCTTTGGCTTCCTCGTCAAAATATGGAATACAATAATCATCTAGATTTTGAGGTTTGGTTATAGAGGCATGTGTTTTTGCAGCAGATGAATCCCTTTGAAGTCCTGGTAAGATTTCAGGTGAAGTAACCAACTGTGAATTAGGTGGTACATCCATCCCTTCATATGTCTCTTCCCCTAAGAGAATTCATTTGATTCAGGCCAGACAACCTTGCAATAATTTTGTCAACCAATGAATCTTGGTTCCTAGTGATGGGATCCAATGTATTTTTTTATTCTAACTTATTTTCTCCTAAGTTCCTTTTGTAGTCTCAGCATGTTTTCCTCAAGTTGAACAATATTTGCTTCTATATTCTTTTTTTTGTAAGGGTACTGTGAGGATGATGTGTTTCCAGTGCTTGATGAGGTGTGTTCAATGTTTGTTCCTTTGTTTGATGAGACATTTTCTGTTCGTTAATTTGAACGTAAAGAAATTAAAATGCAAAAAATATGCGGAAATGAATTATGCATGAAATTTTTGAGCTATTGATCCAAAACATGTTTGTTATTATAAATAGTCTTTATTAGGACAAAAGTGTTACTCTAAGAGACTAAAAACAATTCAAAGGTACATTCTAGCTATATCTTCTATACCTCAAACGACTTCTAATAAGTTGACAGTCTTCTTACTTCTTCTGTCACTGGTTTAATACCTTATTGAACCACCCCATTTTCTCTTGCCAAACCATGCAGGTGGCATGCCACTTTCTGTACCTGCTATAAGAAGTCCTAAATGTCTGCATCTCTAGATTTTACCCTTTATTGAGCGTGTCCCCAATGGAAACGCCATTAGAGCACTCCATCAAAACGAACTATTTAGAGTTCATTTGCCTACTTCTTGAATGTCCACTTCTTGAATTGATCCATGGTGACCTTCAGTTCAGTTATAGTTTTACCACCCTGTTCATGTTGTTTTTGAAGGGACTTTTTGAAATCAATTACCTTGGTCTTCAACCGCTTGTTCTGGTGTTGAATTTCTGAGAACTACCTTTGGGAAATCCTTAGCTGATTCTTCAATGTTTCCCTATCATCATGTCTTTCAAATTTCCTTTTCAAGCAGCCAACTTCACCTTTCCAATACTCAGAAGATCTTTTCAAGCTTGTATTTTTTCTGAACCTACTCTTGATACCCTTTTCTAAAATCTTCTAACTCAAAGCTGACTTTTTTTGTTTCTTCTCTAATATGTCTGCTCGATCCTTTTGAGTATCAGTGTCCAGCTTACATTGGAACTTTTTAGCTTCTAAATCTCTTTATTTTTGCTTCAGTTCCTCTTTTTCAACTTTAAATTCATTCTTCACAATTTCCAGCTAAGAGGGAACAAGTTTAAGATGCTCTTCAATGGTCCGAGTGTCCTCATGATCTGGTGTGGGAACAGTTTCATTCTTTCTCAACTTCCTCCATTCTATATAGTATGGGGTACACATGTCATTGGCAGCCACAACATATGTACGTAATATCTTCTTCCATGACTCAGCTATATCTTTAACTCTTTTCTTGTAATTATTTTCATGATATATGAACTCGGATCTAGATATCTCATGTGTAACTAGGATAAACTGAGGTGCCTTATAATGTCGAAGTGCTAAAACTGGAGAATAACCAACTCCTCCTCACAGTTTGAGTAATATTACTATGCTTGAATCTCTGCACCGTACAAAATGTCACTATGAATTAGCCAAGGGGCTCTCCATATGATGTCTTTATCCTGGAGATGCATAAATATCTTCGCCCATGTTTCTTATGGAGCTCCTTCTCACTATTTTTGTGTAAAGAATTCCTCTATCGGTTAACACGTTGTACTGAACTAGTGGTAAGAAATCCCATCAGTTTTCCAAAAATGACTATGGATCCAAACCTGAAGTAGTTGTGTACATCCTATAAAACATCCTCCACCAGTCATTCTACAATGGTTTAGTGAGCAGAAAGTTTCAGCTTGGATTACTGGTGCAGGATTCACTCGTTTTGGCAGTTGTTTAAAAAATTCCACCACAACTGGCTCAATGTGTCCCAAAGTTTTTGGGAAGATAACCAGCAATAGATTCTCAATGAAAAAATATCGATCATCTTCCATTCATCAGGATGATTCTTCATTAACTGCTTGATGTGAATCTAAGCAATTCTTTCACCTTTGCCTTTGTGTTGGATATAGTCAGTTACCAAGTTTTTGTCAACTCCTACGACCTTGGCCAAACTATTCTTGAAAGGCTGACTTTTGATGTATTTGATGAAGACTCGGTCCGTTCTGATTCTTTCGCAATGTAGCAGGGTAGTGCACTCCTTAATTGTGGGCACCATGTCTTCTTGGTTGAATGTAAAACATATGTATCATGGATTCCAAAATAGCACCAGGGCTCAAATTTAGGGTTCATATATCTTGACATAAGGCAAGTTTGCAATATCACCATATCGCTGGCTAAACTTCTATTTTCTTCAGTTATCCAACTGTCCCAAATGTTCTACAACTCCTGAGTATCATTCTATTTGAGGCTGATGGAAGCGTAGGCAGCCAGATCTGACTCATAGTTGTCTTAGAGACTGTCCCCTTTTTCCTTCTGAGTCTTTTCTGACCATAGTTGTACTTATGCATTTTTAACCTCTTGCATTATAACCCCTTTGTCTATTAATGCAAACTATTTAAGTTTTAACAAACACTTTTCATATCAACACCTCTTTGAATGATGCAAATGAAAAAAATGGAAATAAAATATAAAAAATAAAGGAAACAAGTTAGTAAAGTAATAATAATAATTAAAAATAAAAACTCCAACCCCACATAATATTTATCGCACATGCTTTTTACTCTTATCCGTACATGATATTTATCTTGCAAGTTATTTTTTTTGAACAAATCCTAACCGCGTATATCTCTATTTTGAATGCTTTGAACATAAATAGACCAGGAAATAAATCAAGCATCCTAGGTTATGTTGTCACGTCTACCTTGGATCCAAAAGTGATGCCTCAAGGTCCCATTACTAGATCAAGGGCCAAACAATTCAGGGAAGTACTCTTAACTAAGTGTCTTGAAGCCTTCAATTCATTTGACAACATAATACAATCCAATGTTAAGTTGTATAATGTTTTAATAGTTAAAGAGTAACTTAGCATATCCACATCTTTTTAATTAATGCACATTATATTTCAAGTATGTTAAGTATGTTATAATAGTCTTGCATTCATTTAAGCATGATTCATTACATTCATGAAATTGCAACATGCTTAATCATTTATTTGTTAGCTAATGTGCATTCATTTTAGCTCTTAGGCCTTATACATTAGCTTATATATGTTATATCATTATGTACTTAGCTCATGACATGCATACAGAGCTTGCAAGATCATATTCATGCACAAAAGCAAGGTAATTAGATCCTACAAACTCAATGCCTTTGATTTACCTTGTTTTCTTTGCACATATATATACATGGAACCATGGCACACATTGGGGAAGCTTGTTGGAGTATTTAGGATCCATATTTAGGTCACAATTAGCTCATAAACATCATGGAAGCTCGTGCAACACAATGGGAAGCTCAACTCAGTTGGAGGAGCTCAAGGCTAGCTAATCTTAGCTAGTTGTACTATTTGAAGACAAGTTGCTAAAAGTGACATCAAATGTAGTTGAATGTGATGTTAGAAAGCTTGGGAGATCACGGCTAAGAAGATCCTTCACCACCAACCCTTGCATTGCTACCTAGCTAGACATATACAAGCTTGAAGATAGCTCAACTCACGCCCAAGGCTACTGCACATGTTTGGACTTCATCCTATGCATAAGGCTACACTATAAGCCTCCTAGAGTACCATGTGCAAGCCTTGTGACCAGCCAAGCCATGTGTTATGCGTGTGCCTCTTTTAGGTGCTAAGATGAATGGTTGCATAACCATTCGTCCAAACAGCCCTTACCCTTCAAATTGACACCAACTTGAAAGGACTCAGGCACTATTCGGGCATGAGACATGCCCCCTCCATTCAACCGAACCAGAACCTATGTTTTCATGTTAATTTTTTAATTAATTATGCCATTTTAGAGGGACACAAGGGCTGGCAGAACCACCATGTATCCATTTGGCCATGTCCCTCCAAAAACTATAAATAGGCTAGTCCTATTCATTTGTAAACACACATTTCATTTAATATAAGTAAGATTATTCTCTTTTCTCAAGTCCTTGTGACTTTTATCGACTTATCAAGTAAATTAATTACTTGTGGCATCAACCCCTATTCATTGATACTTATGGTTCCTATCTCCTTATAGATAGTGGCTCCAAGTACTTTTTTACCACCCCTTAGAGATATTTGTAAGGTTGGGTCTTTGCTCACTATAGCATTGGTTCTTCCTTAGTCTTTCTAATATATTATCCTCACCAACAATTCTTTCTTTCATAAACCATACCATAGCCATATCAACATACTTTCGCTACCAATCTCATAACATAAATAGCCCTCCATTTTGCATTTACATCTACTACCTAGCCATCTCTTTGAGCCATTCACTTATACAAGTTGTTTTGCTTCCTTCCTAGATCCACAATCAATTTATGGTAGGAGTACCTTACATCACTAGGTTTTGAAATGAAGTTTTGGGTTGGGTTCTAATTCCTTACACCATCACAGTTTGGTTCTAAAAAGAACTACCCGAGCTCTCCTTGTTGGTGCCCCTTTGGCTTACCAGACCCTCAATCCTAAGCCCATTACAGGCTCATGTGGACTGAGTTAAACTCGAGAGGACACATTCTCTTATGTCTATATAGAGAATAAATTCACATGAAGACATAAGGTATATGAATCACGAAAGTTACTTGTTAGGTCTATACATAGAATAAATTCTCACGAAGGCATCACTTACACCCCCACTTAAAAAGGGTTTGGAGCTCGAAAATAGAGCCTGAGATGAGTTTTTTGAAAAAAATCTGAAATTAAAAAAAAAATATGTACAACTATTTATTCAAAAATAATAATAATCAAATGTAAATAACAAGGAATGAAAGGATAAAATATAATCCAAACTTATAATTTTCGCTTAAGAAGACAACTGGAAATCAATTTTGGCCTGACTCTCTTACATGTCCCTGATCGCTTGTGAATGTATATGCTAAGGCAAGCAAATCTGTGCAAGTGTACACAATCGATGCAAGTAATATAGTAGTGAGTGAGTATCGTCTCCACAGGGATAGGAAGGCTTTTAAAAGATTGCTACAGCTAGGAATAGTTGTCACTAACTAATCCTAAGTATCTAAGTCAAATTATATAAACAAGGAAAATATGCAGAAAAATTGTAAAGTGAAGTGAGCAGAAAGTGTTGTCGAGGCAAGAAAAATATGCAAAGATAAATAAATAAAAGTTGTCAAGGTTAAAGTTATCGAAACTCTATAAATAAACTGGAAACCTCACAGAATCAGACTTATAAAGGGGCACTTGGGTTGGATTTGTTATAGTGATAAGTTATTTAATCCTAAGAATGATTTTGTATGCTATGCTGAGGCTGCCCGACAAGATTACTGAGCATTCTTAGACGGTTTCTATGGCAATACCACTCGGCGTGAGCTACAACCCTTAGATTATCATACTGTTATTGTGGCAATACCTCTAAGCGTGAACTATAGTGGTTGTCTATCCTACTCAAGCATTTATCCCTTTTAGTCGATTGAAACCCTCTCCTTATCCCTATGGTAGACAAGTTAGAACATCACCATCCCAGGTCCATTCCATTGTTCACAAAGATCTATCTTAATTCTCTCGAATGTAATAATCAATTTCTAGAAAAAATGGCAATATCTCGAAAGCTCTTACAAGGTCTAGAAATATTCCTCCTAGGCACCAGGCAATCTCTCGAAGCTCTTACACTGTCAAGGCAAAAGGTTAAAACAGTGAACAAAACAACACTTAAAAAAAATAAACTTAATCGTTCATTAACGGTAAAATAAAATATCATCCAAGCATTCCCAACACAAAATAAAATAGTTTATGGTATCGTCCCAAAAATAATCATTAAGTACAAGCCCTTCGAAAAGTAAAACATGAAGAACAAGAGGAAGAAAAACTCTCAGAACAGAGCTCTGTCGTGACATCAGACCACTACCATGACTGCTCCGACGCACCAGCCTCTCTCGAGGGTCTGGCCCTCGCCCCGACGAAGCCTGGTTATGAAGGGCACCAAGGACGGATGAGTGGGGACAGTGGAAAAAAGGACGCCGCGATCGCCTTTTCTAAACCTGAGAAATTTTCTCTGTATGATTCTCCCCTCTCCCTCTTTTTGGCGATTGTGACTAGTATTTATAATGGGAATTTTCCTAGGGTTTCACATCATTAAATGCCCCCTAAATAACCATTTTTCTTGTCTAGCTAAAAATAGAAAGGTGGTTGGCTGTTGTCAGACTTTTGGGGGATTTCTTGCACGTGAGGTCAATCAGGCAGCTGACAGGTGACGTCAGCAGTTCGTCATATTCGTGTCAGACTTGCAAGATTTTCCTTGCCTTGGAAAGGAAAATATGTTCTTCATTGTCTTCATCTTCTGTGTTCCATTGTCCCTATCAAATTAATTTGTGTCGGCAAATAAATTTTTCATCAGACATTTCCTGCATCATCACAATCAACAAACAACCTTTCTCATCAGCAACATTAGTTTAATCAAATAAACTTTTCCTCAACAAAACTTATCCACCATATGAAAATATGTTCTAAATGCAACTATATGAAGCTAAAATGCTTTGTCAATGGCTTTTAAACAATCAATAACTTAAGTAAAAGGACCTAAAATATAGTCTTTTTACGGAGTTATCACACCCCCAAACTTAAGGTATTGCTTGTCCTCAAGCAATGGATAATAAGCAATTGAGAAATAAGTTTCCATGGCAGAGCAATAAATTAAGACAATCATGTGGTTTAAAATTTTAGCCCTTAGCAAAAAGTTTAGCCTCAACGT